CACATCGCTTTTGGAATGTAACGTGAAAAACCTGTCTAGTCGGAAAGACTTTTGCAGACTACTCTACGTAATACGTTTTGTAAATTCAATGTAGATACATAATTCGTTAAGTTTCGTATTCTTTTACGAGTCATATTTATACGAGACAATGAGAGTTAATATTTTATTTTTTTAACGACTTTCGGACTTAATTTCTTTCCTTCAATTATTAATAAGTGGCAAATCGATGACAACAGATTTCGGTAAAGATGTAAATGATTCTTCTAAATTAAAAGTCACTTCCAAGAAAGTAATCTGAATTATAGCTGTATGTATACGTAAAAAGATTTCAACGTTCGAAATTATCGGATAAAAAAATATCGTCTGCTATGATTTTACTACATGAACTCTTTCTCGCACAGTAGACAGAGGCAAGCAAATTCCGTCATTTTATCGATTTTACACTCTGATACTTTCTACGTCTTGAGAAAATCAATATTGGAAACGAACATGTTCAAGAAGCAATTAACATCGGTACAATTAACGGGCAAGATGAAATTTCCCGAGCGTGAATTAGAACTTTACGAAGATTGGACAACTGTGAAGTAAGAAAACTATTCCTTGCAAGGGGACGAATCACGAGAATCTTTCATACTTCACGCGATTTCATCTAACGAATAACAAATTTTTAGAGACAAGTCTGATGCACTTTGTCGATCGCTTCATCTTGTTAATTTACAATCGAATTGTTAGAATTTACGTGACTGTACTTTTCTGAAATGTTAAAATTCCTTCAACCAAAATTCTTTTCCGACATTTGTCTTAAGAGTTTTTTTCTCGCTATTCCTCCGGATAATATAATAATTTAGAAATTGTACCGAGATCGAGAGCCCGTAACACGGTGTTCGAAGCGGTTCAAGTATTAATATTTGAGCCCTTGCATAATATACGATGAACGTTGTATGAGAACGCCGGGGCGCCGTGTGTGTGATTTATTATCGTTATATCCGACACGTTTCGCGTCACGTATGCAATACTTCGTCGCGTTTGTGTCACTATGAGACAAGATGTTGGATCGTCAACATAGTGCAAAGGGTTGAATTTACTATAAATCGTGAACAGGCAGAACCGCAGTAAGACGATGATTACTTTTACACTTATATTGGTCACACCTAAAATTAAAAAGTTATTTAAAAAAAAAAAATGT